TCGATCACAATTCATTGTTTATGCATGTTTCCTGACAAGCTCGAATATTTCCTCAATTTCGGTCAATAATTCATAGTCTGTTAGGATTTTATTTTCTTTATAATCGGTCATCTACACTATTAACTGCATATGTTCACATACTTACAGCACTTTGAAAAAACATAAAATATACACTGCTGAAGACAATCAGAGGATCGCTACAGTAACAAGCCAGTTGCGTCAATCAAGCGACAGAAACAAAAAAAAAGGCGAAATATTGAAAGAGGTCATTTTAAGAAATGGCTGGATCGCACTTGAAATACTTAATACTTTATACAACGTAATGTGTCTTTATTGCTTCGCTTTCATACAACGACAACGACTAGTAGTGGACATAGATAATAATAGATCCCTGGGACCTCATTGTTGTCTCTCTTCCACACTATAGGTATGACGGATTAACATTATTTCTATTATTATTCATTTATATCCACGTGACAAAATTCATGTCTGTATAATATACATTACTTTTCATAAGAGCCTTAATATCTCAGCACGCTATTATTGTGCACGCCCTCCTTTTGCACTGGACCCTTCAAGTGTTTAAGCAGTGTATAAATTATAAGTGAACATTTACAATGTTACTATTTTTGGATAAAAATCAATTTTCCGAAAACGTTTAAGAAAAATTGCCTTAAAGAAGTATTCTAGTCTAGAGTGTCATTTTTTAGGCCTTCTGGGATTTTTTTCGCAAAGAAACCATAACACTGGGTATCAACCTTTTGCACACAAATTTATTTTCGTTTTAAAAATATTCGCCATTTTTGTTAAGTTAATATAATAAAAATTTCCTGAATAATAAATTCCTTTAGTACGGTTCCTTAAAAGAAATGTTGTACTGAAATGAAAAATTAAAAAGATTCTTGATTAGTGTGAATGTGGCTATGTCAAAAACTAGCATGAAAAAGAAATATCGATAACTTCCAAAATGGTGGCACTTTAAATATCGATTATTTCGATTTTTTCATATTTTGCGAATTAAAAAAAGGATAAAATATCATTTCTGGTAATGCTGGTTCATGGGATAACGACACTTCTACAGAAAGAGTATACCAAATATGAAGCCAATCAGTCAATTAGAACTTGAGATACCGTGTCAACCATTTTTAAGAAACACAGTTTCAAGGGAATATGATCAAAGCTTCATACGTTGCATGCCGCAGTGCTATGTGCCGTCTTCTTTAAAACATCTATATCTTCATTAATTTTACGAATTCGGGCAAATCCTTCTGCAGTTTATTTCGAAAAACCTTCACCTTCAAAAAATGCAAAAAAAAAACTCGATTTTTTTAAACGTCTGGTTAGATATCCACTTAAAACTTCCCTGCTTATAACTGCTATACCTGCATTTCCAATTACATAACAAAAAGGGGTAATAATACATTCTTGTTCACAATCTGTAATTGTTTCAAGCAATATTCATGCAACGCATATAGGAAATACAAATTAATTTGGATTGATTAAAGGAAAATCTTTGTCCAGTTGTTTATCTTTTAAGATTGTGGTAGGTAGAACAATTTATTATTGCAAGTTAAACTATTCTCCTTGTAAATATTAGTATAATTTCGCTGTATAATTGTTCTGTTTTATTTGTTCAACGGTAATAGTCGTCATTATTTATTGCACATAAGTGAAAAAGAGACATTATGTTAAAGGATTTTTATGATTAAAATTATTTAGTTCAAAGAATTTCTTTATTATAGTCTAGAAATAAATGGAATAACTCTTTCTGGAATCTAATATTTCGATGATTCCTGGTAAAAATTTAATTGGAACAAAACTCGAACTTATAATTTTACTTGTAAAACGGAAAATGTTTGTGCCTTTTAATTGATGCGAACGGGTGCAAAGTGTATTATTTCTGCCAGCGGACATTACCGCAAATTTAATCGTACGCGGTAGTGAACGAACTCGTGACTCGTTATTTTTTATTTCTCGCGGAAATGAATCGCAAATGTCTGTGAAGCCGTGAAAACGCAGTAAAGCTTTGGCTGGAATTTAATACATATTGGAAATACATTAATACTGCCACAGAGTGATTTACGCACCCGGAATTTAACTTTCTGTCTGATTTTATATTGCATTAAAAATAAAATAAAAATGTTTTAAGTATAATATCATTTGTTTACTGCTATTCCATTATACATACAATCAAATCTTATGAACACAAAAGTACATGATGTTCCTAGTAATTGAATAATTTGATAAACCTTTATAAACATTTTCGTGGCAAAATACACATTAACCACAATATTTTTTACATTTAAACTTGTTAGTAAAATTAAATTTATAGGAGATTACTTTTAATCCATGGGGTACAATTTACAAATAAAAAAGAGATCGTATAAATAATAAAATGTATTTTAAATATTTCATAAAAAGAATTACAGATGATACAAGTAAAAAATTCTTATCGTAGGCTTATCAAGGCACTTGTATTTACAGAGTTTTACTCATTGTACTGTATGAATGTCGAACAATTTACGACTTATATGGGACCATCTTCTTTATCGTTATCGCACAAAATTTATAATTAAATCAGGACAGCGTCATTGCGTCGTCGTTAACATTAGTTCCCGCTTAATTAAATTAAATTGATCAAGTACTCTATGCTTACACAAAATCCAATTGACTTTGTCACGATGAAATGGCAATAAAATATATATATATATATATATATACATATATATATTTATTGCAATGAAAATCGTATGGTATACAAATTACTCTACACCACAGTAAGTTTATTAATTAATAGATCGGCGTAGAACATATAACAATATTGTACAGTTTAAGTAATTTAGTTTTTAATGTACTTCTAATACTGAACGAATAAGAAGCTGACGTTTGTATAATAACTCGTTTGAATTTCATCCACAGCGTTGTAGTTAACACACTGACCGCCATGTTACTCATTTATGATTGACACCCATTGTCAGTACCGACTTGACAAAGCAATTAAAAAAGAATAAATTCATTTAAGGGTCATGAAATTCATCATGGCTCTAACAGACTCACTGGTTTGGCTTATGTAGTATTTGTTTTGTTAAGAAAAGGGTTTATTCGAGAATTCTCTGTGAGTATTGGCAGTCGAAGTGTTAAGTAATACAATACGGAAAAATAATCCTCTCCACCTTGGCACGCGAATGTATTTTCTTGAAGCGTGTCGCTTCTACATGTTAAGTTTACAGTATCTTAAGAGTAATTACTGAGAAAAGCTACTTTAGATATCAATTTAAAACTCTCTACCGAGGTATATAGATATTTTACGAAAGTAAATGTTTTCCATGCAGAAATACACACTAGTTTGAAAAATATAAGCTGCAGCATACACAGGATGAAAAAAAAAATATATTGAATTATTTTGACGTCAATACACAGGTGTAATGAATTATACTATATGATTGCTACTTTACATATGTGAATACAGCTACTAATAAAACTATAAAAAATAAAAAGTATTGGCAATTAACGAAATGACAATGTTTCATAGAAACAACCTCTTCCTAAAACTTTTCAACTTGAACGATTAGAAATGTGAAAAACTTTGTGATTAAAGTAATACGTAAAGTGGAGACATGATTTGTAGTGAAAAAAGACATTAATTTCATATATCTACAAATTTTCAAATCAATCTGTTTAGTAATTTTCATTAAGTCTTGTCAATCGCCTCGAAAACTATGCTTTCACACAGCAGCTTATGTTTTTCAGTGTGTTATGTATTTCCCCATGAAAAATTAATATAAATTGGTGATTTGTTGATATAAATATACAATATAAGTAGAGATACAAAGTTTAAAATTAATATCTGAAGCAGTTTTTTCTGTTGGTATTACTGGACAACATCAGATATGAGTAATAGATATAAATAACAAAGAGTCGCTTAAATACTCGTGAAAAAACACGTCAAGTAGAAAAAATAGTTTTACCGTTTCATAAAAATCGACCTAACTTTAATTAAGGCACTTTTGTACATTAATATCCTTTAATTTTGTTTCACAACGAGGACTTTTTCATTTCATCAGCCGATATAAGTTTAAAAAATTCTTCAGTATTTTTTTGGAATTCAGCTTGGTAAAAATAGCGCAGTATTGAAGAATTACGATAAAGCAAAATATATTCTCCATTCCCACAAAAATAAATACTGAATTTGATCAAAGTTATTACGATCATTTACCTATTTAATGTTTCCTCGAGGGAGATCAAATATTATATCTCGAATGCGAGTTTTATTTATTGCTTGGTGTACTGTCAATATAAAAGGCACCCTTTAAGGAGAGATATCTTCGTTTTTATTATGTACATATGTTCTGAGATTCATAAAATATCTTTTTGAAATTTCAATATTTTCCCAAAACTGTTGCCCACTTAGAGAATAAGGATGGACTGGATTTATAAAAACACTCCAGATGAATGTTTTGTAATTTTATTGGATTATTGAGCAGTGTATTATAGAAAATTAACGAATTTATGAATTATTCAAGCATCCGCAACAGAATCACGCGACGAATTGAGCCCCCATTTAACGGTCACATCAGATTCAGTCTTATTCCGAACGAGCAATACATATATTCAACAAGAATTTAAATGATTTGTTTCTTACTATTAGTATAAATAACACGGACCGCAGTGTCTGTGATGATCAATTGTCTTGTTTATTTTAAGACACCTATAAAATGATCTATTCATAGATGTCTTAAAATTAAAACGGGACATTATCGTTGATTAGCACTTATAACTATTCTAATATGATTATTAGTAGACAGAGGCGGGCAAACATACACTATCTTGATAAAAAATGTATTAAGGGCTAGACTGCGAATGTTTTTGCAAATAAAAATTTGTTTGCACTACTTTATAAAAACTCGAATCAAACAGAAATGGATTTAATTAATTTAAAGTTTGTATAGACCCGAAATAAAATAATGATATCATTGAAATTTATTACACTTTATACTACACTGAGATTTATGTAATCGTATATGCAACAAACGCATATAATCCACAGTCCACTTATTATTATGCATTATTCATCGAAAGAATACGAAAATTCTAATGAAATAATAGAATTATGTTTCTCTATAATCCGAATGAACATTAGTTCTTTAGACCTTACCATTAAGTATAAAATTCTGCCCATCCCTGTCATCAGGTAAATTTTAACAAGCGTAGACCGTTTACTCGAGTCGACATTCGAGCGAGAAATGTTTTTTTTTTATGGAATAGCGTTAATGATATTACGAATACATGATCGAAAAGACGGAAAGACATCGTAGGCAATTCTGTCTACCATCAGGAAGTACTTTGTGCGATAAGTACAATTCGTCGTCGTCCTTGCAAAACTCTCGATATCGACTGAAATATCATGTAACTCCTCCTTCGTGCTTCGTGAGATCAGACCAGCGAGATTGAAACTTTTCAGCAAGCCTGCAACAGAAAATAAACACATGCCCACATGAAACCTGACTAACATAGTAATTAAAATGGAAATGCTTATACAAATTTAATAAATAATTATTATTATCGCCTGATTTAAGAGTTTAATAAAAATTTAGGAATTTTGGAGTTTAATAGAAACTTGCTTCTTCTCTAAAAATTATTTAATTAAGATTAAAATAACTTTAATAAATCTTATTGTTTTTCGTGTACTTGTAATGAACATTGACGCTCCATTTAATCATGTTCTCATGTAATTCATGTTTCAAATTACAATTTATGCTTGTAAATGAAACACTCGAATAAATCTAACCTTTATGAGAGTTAACCTTTATGAGGACTAATAGTAAAAACTTCGCAGAGTAGCATTCTCCGGTATTGTGTGTACACAAAATAATACAAAGAAAAGGTTTTAAAACATAGTTTAAAGAATATGATTCCTTTGATATTGAAAATGTAATTCCAATTCTGTTTATTTATTAATAAGTTAAGCGCAATACTTAATTGTGAGTTTGAAATTAGTCTTTGGTACTTTGGTTTAAACATTAGAATCCGAAGTTGCATTTGAATTCAAATTCAATTCTTTGTCCTTCAGTGAATTTTAAATTTTAAATATTAATTTTATTGATTTTTATAAACTCAGATCCAATACATGAGTTTATGTATTATTTATTATGTAGGATTGAATTAATTTCCCCTTCAATTAAATGTTGCACTATCATACAATAATAAAAGAGGGAAAAACTTTACATTATTTCGTTCATATTTACGGTATGCATTTAGTTAAATGCTTCCTATCAGTATATATAACTAACAAAACTCCTTTTGGTTTATGAAACCATCGTGAAAAAATACTAAGGTAAGAACATTGTGACTAGTTAGAACTTTCCCCAGCTTCGTAGGAAGTAACCGTTACTTCAACCCTCAGTAATCTTCCCTCAAGAATTTATTTCCGCAATCAGTTTCTGTGTCGACATGATTTTGCGATTCTCTAGGGGACGGAAGAGGGACGAGGGATCCTATATGACGTTAGGACATCGTCCCACCTGGCCATTGTATTTCTTTCGATCGTAAAGATCCTTATTTCCCTGGATCAGCCAGAATTAAATACGAATACAGACAAATCTTGTACTCATGACCCAAAAGATCGTGGGAAAAACCACTGTATCTGGGAAAATTTCACGGAAATTCTCATCACTCGATGACAAAAGTGCTAGAGGAAACACTTTTTTCATTTAATTCGTGTAATCGCTCATTTCCCTAACTCGTAATTTCACGTTAATCGTAAATTTAAATGTTCTAGATATTTTTGCAAGAATAATTTTTTATAAAATTCTGGTTCTACATCTATTATTTTCTGTAAAAGAGTGTTAATAATCATTAATAGAACAAAACAGCAGATGTATAGTTGGATAGTTACAGGAAGAGTTCTACATAAAATAATAAAGTCGAAACATAAATGAATATAAATAATGACATGTAAATACTAACGAGTATACAAACATAATACACGAAACATAGAATAAGATAACAAAATAAAAATGCGTTTTTGTATACATTATAAATGTAATAATATTGATTACATATTATAATTACACAAGAATACTTATATAAATTCTTATTATTGGATTAGGAATACCTATATATACAAATTCATCATTTTATAAGTTAACTTAAGGAGACAGGAATTAAGTAGAAATATATTTTCTCCGTTAATGATTTTAATAGATTTATCAGTTTAACTAATTCAAATATATTAAAGACTGTCTTAAACCTCGGTGAAGTTCTTGTTGTATTTCGTTTTATTTAGCAGAATCTATGAATTAATAACAGCAAACCCCTTGTACCTTATATTTTAGACCGAAAAGTAATATTATTATTATAAAATAATTTCAGGCTATAGTTTTACTGTTTTATTTTATGGTATTATTAATTAAGCATCTACCTTTTCAACAAAAACATGTTAAAATTCTTTTACTGTCTCTTCGTTTCACACACTTTGCTATCAAGTATTGTCCCTACCAATACTTTTGTGACGAGGACTATACCACCCTGATACCATCGGAACTTTTTTACTTTAGTATTCAGACGATTACTCTCCCCATGTTTCTTCTGTACGAGAAACGAAACTACGACGTAAAAGTAAGTGTTTGTCCGTTGTTCTTCTCCTTCGACTTGCCTCGTAATGGACAGAAGAATTTAAAGAACTGTCATGCTGGTAACCCGCATGTACATTATCTTATCAATAAACATTACCAGCATGGCAATGTGACAACGTTTACGTCGACGACGGTTACAGGTTGATTATTCCGTCTACAGATTAAGCCTTCTCCGCAAAAACAAAGAGAATAAACACTGAAATTTTTCCCGAATTCGACAGTATGAAAAATTACGGCCACTATAATGTTCTGGGCATAAATAAGCTTAGAATAATATTCTGCTTTTACCAGCGACTACAAAAATATTATATAATTTTAGATAAATAACGTTTTTATGTAAAGTCTATTTATTTAAAAAAATAAAGAATTTTAGAATAAATTGTTATATAATTTTAAATAAATGGTGTTTTTATGTGAATTCTTTTATACTTGAAATAGTACATTTTTAATGAAATTATTTAACCCATTGGAGTAACTAAATTGCCGTATTGTATAATCGCCATTTAGTTGATGCTTACTGTAGCGAAAGGGTTAAATTCTTTTCATTACTAAATTCCTTTTCAATGAACTAATAAATGAGTATACTTTAATTATCTGCTGATTCTTAGAATTTTTATAGTAACTTATTGAAGAATAGAGAAATTTGGTGAAGTTTCTGATGTAGAATGGTAATATTTGACGATTTCAAAATGTTATTTATTCTATAAAAATATTACCATGTCGTTCTAAATATATTGTATATACTCTGGATCATAATATAAGTGATGAACACCACAGAAGTGATCAAGAAAATTAATTTTAAATATAAAAAGTTGAGCACCTGCTAAGTGCGTTGGCACTAAAATTTGAAAATTTTCAAAAGACAGAGTTTGTTACTTTAGCCTGTTATTCACAGGCTAAATGACGAATATTTTCACGCGAAACACACATAATCAGTATCTTGCAACACCTTGTGAATTTGGAATGTATTCATATACATTCTACCTTTCAAATCGGGAACCAAAAATTAGTCTATAACCTAGAAATATTTATACAAATCTATTTTTCACCATTTAAAATTAAAAATAGGAAGTTTAAAGATTTATTCTCTTGTATTCAGAAATGCATAGTTCAGAAACGACAGATACATATTTGTTAAATGTCAGTCAGTTTTTATGTTACGTTTTGTAAAAGTTATCGTAAGCACAATCAACTGCAGTCTACGACAAAATGTTTCAGTACATTTTGAGACTCAGTTGACAAAATTAAGCTCACTAAATAAATACTCAGCTTACCCATGTCGGTGTATTAATAATTCACAAATATATTTCAGCATTTGTACCGAAGGAATGTATAAATTGAGCCATAAAATCGATTCAATTAATTCTGAAAGTACATTATATCGTCGCTTGGTTAAAGGTCACTCGAATTGTCAAATTTTCGAAAGTCCTTACGCGCAATAATATAGACCACGATGTATTAAATAAATTAACGGGATCGCCGGGCAACGGTGAAATTTAATCGAGCATATTTTTCGTCGACAAGGACAAACATACTGTCACGATTTCGTTACACTTTCTTGCAATAACATCCTTTACCATCGTCCGCGTAACATTTGTAACTATCATTTACAAGTAAATGCAATCGCGCGCTGTATGTCACGTCTCCTGATGAAAAATATAGCCGATTAACGACGGGGTTAAAGCGCCACCGGTGTATGTACTTTTACCGGCCACGAGAAATGTCACTGTACGTACGTAAGGACACGTGATCATTAGTTAAAGAAAAAATTTCGTCGTATCGCTTCCGACTTATGAAAAAGGTAACGTTGACAATATTAATATTAATGATATTATAAACTATGCTCTAACATTAAATCAAAGAATACACCTGGATTTTTCCTGTTTCTCAAGTAATATGCGAAGAGTTTACATAGAGTTCCATGAAAACTATTAAACTCTTATTTATTAACCCTTAATTAGTTAAGTGGAAATCTTGTTACTTGTTAGACAACTATGTAGTTGTTTTGCATTTTCATATAAGAAAACATCGAAATAAATAAGAATCTCATTAGGTAATTATTGAATAAAAATAAAATATTATATAAATATTCATGGGATACCATAGACTCCACTTTACCAGGTAAGAGTCAATAGACAACACTATTTCTACTATTATTTCGAAATTCGATCAATTTTTGTGTTATGATTACGAAAAAATAATAAAATAAAAACTTTGACAGGTTGCTGAATTTAAGTAAGATATATTATACATCATGGGTGTATCGGCAAACAACGCCAAATCAATACGTATGGCATCGCAGAAACTGAGTTTAAAATTTTCGTTCAATGTACTGTACGAGATACACGTAGGTCTAGAATAAATGACTCACAATCAGTTTAATAAGAAAATCCTTATTTCTTATGTTGTTAAATTTTATCTTTTTATCGTAAAGTATTGTAAAAACCGACAGTTTTTGACTTAACGTCTTTTACTAGTATACCCAGGATATGTCAGATATTGAATTGAAAATCAGGTAATCCATTTTATACAGTATTTAAAATTAAAATTAAATGCTACTTTATTTGTATCAAATTTCTAAATGATATTTGAAAATGGTATCGTATTTACATCATAAAATAAAAATACTACTTCTTGGAACATTTTAGTATTATAATCAAATATTTAAGGTATCTTTTTCAATTTTTTAAAGCAAATAATGAAATTTAATTTAATATATGCATGCAGTCCAATGTTCGTTTAAATTATTCATCTTCACATCCATGGTTCAAGCTAATATTTTAAGAACATTCATTTGAAAATGTTCATAGCTCTGTTAGCGACGTGTACAAT